TATATGTAGACTAGTTTACAGCCATGATCTTAAAGTTCCCTCATATTAAGATGAGATGACAGATGTAAAAGATGATAATCTCCCATCTATCTGTGCATGGCTTAACCTTGGTTTTGTGTCAGCCATGTGCTGACAGCTACCCTTCAAACTCTGATATTCACAATTCTATTTTGTAATACTTGTTCTATAATAGGAAAATAGATAACTTTTTTTTATGAATATACAAATAAACTATATGCTGGCACAGACCACTGGATATTAACCCATTAGATCTGGAAGCTTCATTATAATAAAGTGGCCCAAAATATGGGAATAAGGCTTTTTGTGAGTGAGTGGCCACTCTGACAGGTGTGCTGCATGTTGGCTGAGCACATGTAAACACTTGTGTTTGATGACAAGATTCCATGCCTCCCCTTTGTAATGTGTTTTGCAATTTTTTTTTTTTCTCTTTTTTTTCCAAAATTATATTTGTCACTTGATTTGTTTTGCTCAAATGGTAATAGACTGTTTTCCTTGCACAGACTCCCAATCATCTCTAGGTATCCATAACTGGTAAGAATAATAAGAATAAGTAACATTTTGTTATTTGTGTCCTTTTCGTAAAATTAAATTTTCTGTAGTACAACCTGCGCTACTGGCCAGGAATAGGATCCTGAGCATGGAAATAATGTCCTCCCTGGAGTTGGTGCTCCACCAGCCATTGTTCGCAGACATTACATTCCACACTGGTTTATTGATGGGAATAATGCAAAAGCCCTTTCCCAAACATCAAAGGAGTCTTAATCACCCTCTAAGAGCCTTCTGCACTTTTGCTATTTGTTTGTAGTGTTTTTCTGGTCTACATTGATTATGAGTAATTGGTGAAAGATATGATATTTTGACCAATTGAGTTTTTTGTATATAATGTTATTTTCTTTTTTTTGAGTATTGTATTATATATGATTTTTTTTTTTTTTTTTTTAAGTTTTTATTTCTTTATAAACTTTTAAGGAGATTCACTTTAATAGTTCAGAATAAAATCACTTGACTGATCATGATGATAGTGTTATCAATGAATTTATTCTCTACCCATAAATGTGAGAAATTTGCCATGGAACTCCCCTAAATCCCAATTTCTTAGTCCCAGGGAGGGCCAAGAACGAGAGGTACCTGGGAAATGAAAGGTTCCAGGAAAATTGCAAAGATATGAATATTATAGAGAGAAACATTTCTACAATAATAATATGTGTAGATCACTCACTATATTGTGAAATACAGGGGTGTGTGTGCCCCCTGCAACTCCTCTCACAAGGGACTGCCACCCTCCAATTCCCATAGTAGAAGACAATATATTGACCAATTCTCTTTATATTATTCATATTTTGCCTCACAATTTCCATAGTGGTACTATTCATGCCCTCCTTTGTTATAGGAGCCAAAATTGTTGGTATTAGGGGTATTTCCGTGGTATAATTTCTATATATCTGGGAGTAGAGAGACAGAGACGAATCCATTGATATCAAAATCATTGTGATCAATTATGCGAAGATATTCTGAATGTCTACAATCTCACTTTGCCTCTGTTGAGAATGTAAAATTTTGATGCTGTTTATCCCCTTGAACACTTTTGGGCTTCATGAATAATCCTCTAGAATTGCAAACTTATCCATCAGTTATTTATGATGGTTTACCCTTATTCAAATTATCCCCTAAAATTGTTTTGTTTGTGTCACCTTGAGAAAATACTTGTTGTATTACTCTGACTAAAAGTTTTGAAAAATATTTGGTTATGATTATTTAGTTTACATAATTTTGTATATATTTAGGTCATGTGTTAGTAATTTTCAAATATATATGACATAGATAATCAAAATAAACTGAAACTAAACTGATTGAAATATTTTTTGTGGTATATGTGAACCCCTTACTTGACTTACTCCTCACATCTTTCAGGGTCACTATCATACTTCCAAAGAGACTGATGTTGAACCCTATCATGACAGGATGTGAATTTTTATGTAATAATATTATACAGTATTCTAGACTTTGTGGCTAGGCCTAAGCTGTTTACAGCTGATCCACCCATTGGTAGTCATGATGCACATACATGTCATAGGCCATTATGTCATGACAGCTGTAGCTGTACCCGTCTCTGAAGTGCTAACACTGTTACAGTTTTCCATGGATATGTATTATATTCACAGTATTATCAGTGATATCCATCAAAATAAAGTAAAAATGAAATACATGTAAATGTCGTCAAGGGGCCGGATGCTCACAAGAGCTCACAAGTTAAGGCATGCTGGAGGCCTTAATCCTCCTGTTGCAATCTAAGTTACGGCCCGTATCTGGTACTTAGCTTTGTATGCACAAACGTTTTTTAAGGCACCCTATCCCTGCCTTAAATCCCGCAGTGCTGTAAATTACTAAAGGCGTCAGATCTTCGGTGGCCAATTGCAGCTTCCTTTTCAGGCGGGTCTTTGGGAATCTTGACCAATCACAAGCTGTAAATGCCAATCAGCTGTTTTTGTAAACACAACACTTTGTGCAGTGCGTGGCATGATAAAACTTTTTAATTGATATGTTCTAGAATAAGTAACATAGAAGAAATGTGTAAGATTCCTAATAAAAAGCAGTTAACAGTAATGTAAATACTGACAATAACAATCATTGTATACGGAGCCCTGTATACAACCCGGAAATTTGTTAATATCCTATGCTTGCTAGTACTCTCATTATCCCCAAATTAACTGATATGTATCATGCCCTCCCCAGCTATTGGGACCGATATTGTAGTTATATATTGTTTGAGAAGGAAATGAGTGTTAGATTCGTTTGAAACACGAGGAAAGCTATTAGAAAATTATTCTATTCACCCAAAAACGGTTGCATTTCCAAATTTACCTTAAAATTATTAAAACTATTACATCCGAGGTGGAGCCCGCAGTGTTTACAGATGCAACACCAAACCTAACCTATCGGGAAAAGCAAATCACAGTTATATTGGAATATAACACTTATTGCCTTATTTAATAGTCAATTGATTTATGTACACCTAATGACACTATAAGTGAGTAAAATACAAATTGTAATGTTGTATTAATTGTTCTATTGCCTTGCTAAGGCTGCTCTCCCCCTGCCTTAAGGGGGCCGTTGCCGTAGATTTTTGACAAATATATATAAAAATACTCAAAAAAAAAAAAAATCTTTTGTAATCTAGTAGGCTTTGGCAACCCACTGATGCAATATTTATGCTAAATACGTAAAAATAAAGGAGTTATGACTAAATATCCATCAAAATAAGATTAAAAGTATTGTATTTTTTAAAAATTTTCTTATTTTATATCTTATATTTTCATTAAATTAAATATTCTGGTACATTTTCAAGCCAAAAGTAATGGTTTCCGGATGGCTTCAAAATCCGTATGCGGGCCAGTCCAGGAACCTGCCCGTGCACCACCTGCCATGGGTGACAAAATCAGAGCACAAGCTCTGGTCTAGCGTTTCACCGGCCTGACGCCCAGTAATGTTTATTTTTCCGGGCGTCTCATATGTGAGACACCTGGCGCTAGTGGGGTAAAAGGCAGTTTTAATACTGAAAGAATAAAGAGTAGGATAAAATGCATTTCACAATACTTAAAGATTGTGAAATGCATTTATCCTACTCTTTATTTTTTATGTACAGGAAGGCTGTCAGACTCATTGCCTTTTGAGCCAAATACGGCCCTGAGGATAGTCATAAATGGTCAGCAGGTTGATAAGTAGAATTTTTAGCCTAGGAAAGATCATCGTGAAGAGAACTAGCATATGATAGACATAAAATATTCATGAATAACCTTTATTTCATAATAATAGTAATTTCAGCAAGGTTGGTCACCTTAAGTATTATTATTTGACCACTGTGTTTGCTTTAAAATTATTTATCAGTTTTTAACCATCTGGTCCTGGGTACATATACTGTCTCCTGTAGTTTTGTTATGTCAGTTTTGTTTACACAGATGACTATACAAGCATTTAGTTACTGAGTCGATTACTATCTTACCTCATTCCTTTAACCTCTTGGATATGGGTACTTCAGTGCAAGCACATGACCCAAAATCCAGGCATTAGGCTTACTTGGATGGCCGCTCTGATAGGTGTGTGGCTTGTAGGCCAGGTGCACACAAACACTCATGTGTGGTGGCACATGTTGCAATGTTATTTTCTCTTTTTTGCTTCTTTTTTCCCATTTTCCAATGTCTACATTTGTCATTTGATATGCTATAAATATAAATGGCAATAGACTTTTTCCTTGCCTAGACTCCATATCATCTCTCTAGTCCATAATAAAAACAAAAAGTCATATTTTGTTATTTGTGTAACTTTTAATTTTTTTGTGTGATATTCAGTATTCTGTAAGACAGCCTGTGCTGCCAGTCACAACAAGTAGGAATAGGATCCTAAGCATGGAAATAGCATCCTCCCTGGAGCCGATGCTCTTACAGTCATTGTTCACCAACAATACATTCCAGTTTATTGATTGAATTAATGCAATACCCCTCCTAAATCCCCACTGAATCTAATCACCATCCAAGAGCTCTGTGCACTTGTGATGAGTCATTCCTTCTGTCACTCTTGCCCTCAGCCAATTTTTCCCATGACTGCATGATCAAGTCACTGGTAACTCAAGCCAAATTTTTCATGACTTGATGGTCAAGTCATCTGCATCACTTTTTTTTTTCTAAGATTATCATTCTAGTTATCAGTGTAGTTGTTATTGTTAGTAAAGCTTTTCTTCCCCAAAATTCAAAGAATATGGTAAAAAGATGATATCAAGTAGGCCTAGGAACTACTCTTTGATAACTAATTACTTGTAGAGCCATTTGTGTGTAAACAAAATTAATAGACTAAAATCACAGTGAACAGGACTTTCCATGGGGTTACTTTAAATATTATTTAAAAAGTTATCTGTGAATGCATTCAGTAGCAGTAGTTACAGGTGTATATGATTATCTATAATTTTTTCTGTTTTTTCATTGCAGGAGAGTGAGACAGGGCTTTACATTTGCCTGAACAGTTTCTTTGGATGGAGCAAGGAATATGTTGCCAAGTACTCAGAACGCTCTGGAAATTGTGTATTCTTACACATTAAGAGAATCAAAAGAGAGGTAAGTTGACTCTTAATGTTCAGGAAAACACTGCCAATAATGGTGCTAGGTTATTATGCTTGAAGTGTTTTGAGAAATGTTGCTAAGTAAAGGCATGGTCATATGAGCACTTTATCAGCAACCTATTTGTGATATGATCCACCATTCGATGTTACTCTGTGGATTCTTTCCCCACTTGCTGGTCACATTGGGTGATTTCAGCAAAAGACATCTGCTGTAGAAATGGAGGCTCAACAATTTCTAAAGCAAAGTATGAGAGTTTGTTCATGGGTGCAGAGAAGAAATAGTAAATGTGCGTATCATAATCTGCCACAAGAACTTTGTTAAGAGGATGAATATAGGCAAGCTCCTTTGAATAACTTGGAAGAGGCATGTATTTAAATAATGAGGACGTCATGGATACTTTCAAATGGATGTCGGTGTAAAGATAACAAACACTTGAGAAATATAAGGATATAAAAGGCAACATCAATTTAAAAGTCATATTAATTGAAAAATATAGTATTATTATTTGTATAGTTGCATATTCTTTTATTAGAAGACTACAGACACTCTTGCCTTGACCACTTTGCCGATTCTGCATGATACCTATTGTCCACTTCTACTTTTGACCAAATATTAGGTTATGCAAACTTGAAAGATAAGGGAAGTGGAAAAGTTGAAGTTGCCTCCAACTTATCAACTTAACAGGGAAAAAAATGTTTGTGACCATTCGTTAATATAACTTATTCACAGTATAAGTTATTACTGCTTATTATGATTACAAATGCATACCTACTTCAGGGGTCTTTGATTAAGAATTAATTTGTGTTTATATTAATTCATTATATCTATCTGTAACAATGAAAGATTTGCTGATTGCCATTTAAAGGATTTTCTTTTTTCACTTCCAGCTTCCTCCAGAGAAAGAACCAGAGCCTGACAAAAAAATTGCCCGTTTGGCAATTGGCGTCGAAGGTGGTTTCAACCCTGATGCAAACAAGAAGAAATTTGAATACGAAGACACTAACTCTGTTGTGATTCTTCCAGCCTTTGATGTCATACCCCTGCCAAATCCTGATCTCCCAGAGCTTGTAAGTCATACGCATGCTTTCCTTTCTTGCGGTACCATGTTCTTACATATGTGTGAATTGAGTATAAAGGAAATAAAAGGTTTTAGTCATATTACTGAGTTGATTAATATTTGTAGGAACCTAAAGGAATTGGATGAAGATGTAAAAAAAAATGAGGGCAAATGTGCTGTTTTGTTAAATGTCTATAAGAATTAAATATATCCACCTACCTTTTCTTGTGGTCATAGATAGCATTTATGTTTGTATTCTTAAAGGACTTCATAAATTGACTTCATACCACATTAGTATGCTTAGATCTAGTTGTGATTCCACAATTCTGCAATAACACAACTGTAGAACAAAATGTAACTTGCTAAAAGGTGATTCACATTAGTTTCAAATAGAAGTGAATTCTTTTCATTTTATGCAAACTACACTGTTTTAATGGTAAACAGAGATAATTATGCCATATGGCAGCTCATGTATTTATGGCAACGATAATATCACTTATGGGATAGCCAATGGTTAGAATAGAATGAGAAATGAAATAGCAAATAAATATGAATATTTTAGGTCTTAACTACTCCTCCTAGAATGACATGTTTTTGACACTATTGTATAGTAATACTCAAAATGTATTATAAATTTGGAAAGGGAAAGGGCACTGAAGTACTCTCATGCACAACAAACAGAATATGTTGTTGACTAGAAATGCCGTCTCACTTACAAAAAATTAAACTTTGATTTTTCAAATTTCAGTGATGGCACTGTCCCATCTTAGGAAAGTAAGTAAAATAAAAAAAGAGAAGAGCTAAACTCAAAAGATGTGCATTTTTATCCCGCAAACAGCATTTTGCGACTTCTTGGGGCGGACCTGTAAGAGACTATTGTAAGGAATCTTTATGAAGATATATGCATTTTCAGCAGTATAGGGAGCAATTTAGCAGTTCAGAGCTACCAAAATTGACCATTCTTGTGTGTCAAGCTTTCCAATACCGTGTGGAACTGGAAATTTGTAACACAAGAAATTTTGGTTAAGCATACCAAAGAAAGTATTATCCTCATGCAGAGTGTGCTGAAAATACAAATGACTAATGTTGCTTTGTTTAAGCATATGGCCAGTAGGCAGGAAGTTGCAAGGTTAGATTATTTATCAGTTTGAATTTCACTCTTCATTCACTTTACATTTATTTATTTAGGTACAGCAGAGCATTAATGGAGTACTGAAAGCAGAGTCCGCCTTGCATTTGGCAGAAGTAGAGGCTGCCGCAGGTGCTTGGGATGGTGAGATACGACAAGTCACTAAACATGCTGATAGCCTACAACAGCTTGATAATGGAGTTAAGGTATAGAAGACCTAAGTGTATTATATGCTGCAAAAAATATTGATTCATCTTTATTGATTATTATCACTGTATTTTACTTTTATGCATTATATGAAAGACAGAATATTTGTCATGGAATTTCTTAAAAATTAAACTAATCGGAAAGTTATCTTAATTGCAGATTCCACCAAATGGTTGGAAATGTGAAGAATGTGACAAGACTGATAACTTGTGGCTGAATCTTACGGATGGTAAGATTCTCTGCGGCAGACGGCAGCTAGATGGATCAGGAGGAAACAACCATGCTGTGGAGTATTACCAGAAAACAAGTAAGAAAGGAAAAGAATATTGGATTTTTCTTTAGATTTTTCATTCCTGTTGTTCCATAGTTAAAAAAGTGAGTTTTCTTTGTTCTCTTTTCCTCTCTTTAATTTAGTGTTTATGTTATTAGCTAGAAGTCCATGTTAGACATTTTCTGACAGTTAGTTAGCAAAAGGTGTTGAGCTCTTCCAAATAGATATAATCAAACACCTGATGGACTGGGCATTATTGTATTTATCATCTTTATCGTCATTATTTAGTAATGAATATTTATATTCAGAAATATATTCTTTATTTTTCTTTCCAGAGTATCCACTTGCAGTGAAGCTTGGGACCATCACCCAAGATGGCAATGCCGATGTCTACAGTTATGATGAAGACGACATGGTTTTGGATCCTAACCTTGTTAAGCATTTAGCTGTAAGTTCTTATTACTTTTGCTTTTATCCAGTTAACATTTTGTGCATTTATTTTTGTGTTTTTTTTTCTGTTGACTTGATTCTTTTTCCCACTAGCTATGCTTTTCCTATTTAGCATAAGTGATTTCCACTTTCCAGCACTTTGGCATAAATGTCAAAGTTATGGAGAAGACAGAGAAGACCATGTTGGAGCTAGAGATTGACTACAATCAGCGGGCCTGGGAATGGTCTCGTCTCACGGAGTCTGGGGCAAAACTCCTCCCCAAATTTGGCCCAGGATACACAGGTTTGTTTGATTGTATTTGGCTGTAATTGTCAACCTGTCCATCATCTTAACCCATTTACGACGGGTATCCCATATATGAGACAGCCGGAAAAATAAATATTGCCGGGCGTCCTGCCAGTGTGACGTTGGATCGGAGCTCGTGCTCTGAATACGTTGCGGGTGTAGCTGCCTGGAAAATATTATTTTCCGCTTCAAAATACACCAGCGTTAGTGGGTTAACCATACTGCCTGTATATAACCACTTGGTTCCCAAGGGGTTAAAGATTTTTATATGGGAGTGATTTAAAAGTGTTATGTCAGTTACTATTGTATGATCTTTTGTTTATTCAGTAATATGGGTAAGTGCCTTGTTATGAATATATACATTGCTTTCAGGAATGAAAAATCTTGGCAACTCATGCTATGTGAATTCAGTTATGCAAGTGCTGTTTACTGTACCAAACTTTATGGAGCGGTATTTTGTGAATGGTCCAAGCATCTTGGAAGGTTACCAGGGAAATAATCCAGCTGACGATTTCAACATTCAGATGTTCAAACTTTCCCATGGTCTTCTGTCTGGAAGGTAAGGAATTGTTTTGGGCCAGAATGAAGAATTTTCCCTTTTTTTTTTTTTAGATGTAGGTTTTTATTGGAATTAACAGTCAGTATTTTCTCTGATTATGTGAGATATTTCATGGATTTTTATGATGAATGAGATATTTGTACAGTGCAACGAGAGAACACTGTCTTTGATACCTCCAGGTACTCGGTTGAACCTCCCAACATCAACTTAGAAGAAGCTGTTGATACAGATGACCTGCAGCCAGGCATATCTCCTGTTATGTTTAGAACTTTAGTTGGGAGAGGACATGCAGAATTCTCAACCAAGAAGCAGCAAGATGCAATGGAGTTCCTTGAACACATCTTGAAGATGACCTCATGTAACTCAGCAGGAGTCACAGACCCAGGAAACTGCTTTAAATTTGAGGTTGGTTTTAACTTCTTTTAATGAAGTTTCATTAGCTTGGGTAGTTGAATCACTTAGGGCAGTGGCTCCCTAACTTAATGGTATTGTTCTTCCAGGCAGTATTTTGATAGATTTTCAATACCTTCAGCACATTCTTCTTCTTTAGTTATGTAAAGGTAAGATAATTACCCCAAGTTAAATTACCACTTACTTAGTGTTTAGTGTTTTTTAGTGTTTTTTATAAGGATTAACCATTAATATTATTATGGCAGACTAAAACTGTTTTATTTGTACATCTAACCTGTTATTGCCCCTAATTTTTTACATGCCTGTACATGATTCCCAATAGTAAAACTTGAGAATTATATAAATAGAATAATTGATATTGGTTCTCAGGCATGTGATTTACTTGGACATTTTGTTAATATTTTCCCCTGACACTGACCCAATAGGAAACATCCAAGGCAACAACACAAGTAGTTGATGTAGAATAAAGAACAACATGAAAATGCTGAATTTATTGAGAATATAGAATGACAATGTTGAAATCATGTAGAACCTTAAAGATCATCACAGACTGTACTGCTTTGTTGTTGAATATGATAAAGAGATTGCTGGCATGCACCTCGCTTAACCCACTTGTGCCAGGTGTCACACATATGTAACATCTAGAAAAATAAACATTGCCAGCTGTCCCACCGATGTGATGCTAGATCAGAGCTTGTGCCTGCTAGATCGGAGCTTGTACTGCTGGTTCCTGGATTGGGTCGTGTGCTGATTTTGATACCGCCTGGAAATTGGGATTATCGGAGGGGGGGGGGATGATTGTCAAATTTAAATTAAACCCATTTTCACACTCGTTTGGAAATATAGAATTACCCACATGAATATAAATCTCACCAAAGTAAACTTGGCTGTGACAGGATCTCTGAATCCAAGACAGTGTTTTGCAGTGTCGGCAGTTTTTACACACGTGTATTTATCCCCTACTGGAGCAAAAATGAAACATTGTATAATGACATTACCTATTGAGATAAGTCAGGGGAAGATGAAAGTGTCTTATGAGTTATCCCCATCACCCCTGTTTTAATCCGAGTTTTAAATGACGCCACATTCCTGTCACCCCTGTTTTAATCCGAGTTTTAAATGACACCACATTCCCATCACCTGGGCCTCAGTCAAATATTTTCCAAAGGGTGAACCCATTTATGTGTGATGTTGGATTGGAGCTCGTGCTCTGAATACGTCATGGGCTGTGGCCGGTGTGCAGGTAGATTTCGGGCCGGCCCCACGTGCACCGATTTTGTAGCCGCCTGGAAAATGTTATTTTCGCCTTCAAAATATACTGGTGTTAGGGGGTTACTTATCTTTCCATAAAAAGACTACTAATATGAAGTATAAATGCAGTGGATGTGACATTACGGCCAACAAGCTATTCAAGTGAATCAAGGCTTCACTACCTCATTTACCCAGCTTTGTTTCTTAGACTTTCAGATACACAAACCTAGAGAGGTAAAAGCTTTTATAAAGAATTAAGGGGCCGTCATATTGAATTTTCAACAAATCTTTTCAAAAAAAAAAAAAAAAAAAAAAAAATCTGTAATCTAGTAGGCTTTGGAATTCCTTGACATACTGTAAAGGCACTATAAAGCCTGCGATGACAAGGCTACACTTCGACAACCATGTGCTGTTAGTGTGATTAGTGCCTTGCAAAAGGGGGGGACCAGGTACTAGCTACACTTTAGAATACTGTGTGAATGCCATACAATGCATCAAGATTGATGAAGAGACCAGAATTCTAAAAAAAAAAAAAAAAAAAAAGGAAAAAGGAAAAAGAAAGAAAAAAAACAACTTTGAGGGAAAAGTATCCTCAACTTCAAAGCCCAATATCTCAAAACTACACCTTTGTCAATGTTTTTGATATTCCTCCAAATTCTAATAGTTTTTGAATCATTTGAAAGCTGGATAAATTTGCGATTTTTTCAACCAAGCAATTTTCATTTCAGGTGATAGAAGTCCATATATTATATTTTATATTTGTTACAATGAACATTTAAGTAAATTTCAAAATCCATCCATTGGTTATTTAGGTATTGCTATAGAGTATATGTATTATTTTTTTCAACAAGTTCGGTCAGTGGATAAGTGCGAAATATAAAATTTTGTGATTTTTCAAAACTATATTATCTAAATGATATGAAAATTGGTGGTGCAAATCTCAGTATATGTATATATAACATTAAAGATTGGGAAAATTCAGTCATAATTGATGAACTTCGTTCTAAAGCCTGATTGTCCCCTTAAAGATTATTAGCATAAATGTAATATTTAACATGTATCTTGTTTACCAAAAATTTCATTTGAAACAAATTTATTATCAGTACACATTAAAAAAAGAAAATACTATGTAACCAGTGTGTTTTAAAATAGCAGGCTTGTGTAAGAATTGTAACTGTGTAAGTTCCCTTTATGACCATGCTTTTGTGTAAAATAGCAAACTTGGGTGCATTTTAGTGGGGGGATGTTAATTGAGGTATATGTGGAAATAGTACTGTAGTGTACTGTATTCCTATCACTGAGTAAGAATGATTTTACAATAGGCAACACTCTTTCTGATGCATAATTGTTGCCAGCTTTCCTCAGATCATGTTTTGATAATCATTACTCCTTAATCAAAACCATTCAGAAAGTTTCTAGCTTTGAAAAGTGACAAAAATTGCAGAACATGGAGGGCATATGAACAATCTTTTTGAAGAATTTAAAAGTCTTCCTTGAAACCTTTTTTCTTGTAAATTCTTCATTATTCTTTTAACAAAAATCTCCAGGTTGAGGATAAGTTTGTATGCAGTGCCAGCAATAAGGTCCGTTATGTGACAAGACCTGACCAATACCTACCGCTCCCAGTACCAGTTGATGAAGCTGTCAACAAAGAGGAGGTGGCAGCCTATCAGGCCCGGAAAGCTGAGGCCCAAGCTTCACAGGTGGTCATGTAAGTACCCCCCCCCCCCTCTCTCTCTCTCTCTCTCTCTCTCTCTCTCTCTCTCTCTCTCTCTCTCTCTCTCTCTCTCTCTCTCTCTCTCTCTCTCTCTCTCTCTCTCTCTCTCTCTCTCTCTCTCTCTCTCTCTCTCTCTTCTCTCTTCTCTCTTTTCTCTCTCTCTCTTTTTCTCTCTCTCTCTCTTTCTCTCTCCTCTCTCTCTCATCTCTCTCTCTCTTTCTCTCTTTCTTTCTCTTTCTCTTTCTTTCCTCTTTCTCTTCTCTCTCTCTCTCTTCTCTCTCTCTCTGTCTCTCTCTCTCTCTCTCCTCTCTCTCTCTCTCTCTCTCTCTCTGTCTCTGTCTCTCTCTGATCTCTGTCTCTGTCTCTGTCTCTCTCTCTGTCTCTGTCTCTCTCTGTCTCTGTCTCTGTCTCTGTCTCTCTCTCTCTGTCTCTGTCTCTCTCTCTCTCTTCTCTGTCTCTCTCTCTCTGTCGTCTCTCTCTCCTTCTCTCTCTCATCTCTCTCTCTCTCTCCTCTCTCTCTCTCTCTCTGTCTCTCTGTCTCTCTCTCTCTCTTCTTCTTCTCTCCTTTTCATCTCTCTCTCGCCCCCCTCCGCGTTCGCTTCTCTTCCGACTCCCTCCTTCTGTCTCCTGTCCTCTCTCACCTCTGTGCTGTTCTCTGTCTCATCACCTCACGTCTCCTCTCCTCTCTCCTCTGTCTCTGTCTCTCTCTGTTCTGTCTCTGGTCTCTGTCTCTCTCTCTGTCTCTTCTCTGTCTCTTCCCTTGTCTCTGTCTCTGTCTCTGTCTCTGTCTCCTCTCTCTCTCTCTCTCTCTGGCTCTCTCTCTCTTCATTCTCTTCTCGCGGCAAGGAGTGTCTCTCTCTCTCTCTCGTCTCATCTTCCTTCTCTCTC